GCCAGACAATCTGAAATCCCGGGTTTCCAATGCCAGTGCCCTCAAAAGGGATATAGACCCTGCAATGCAGTGGTCGTTGGAATGTACCTTCCTCTGAATGAAGAAAAGTGCATCCATACGTAATCCCAGAAGCAAAATAATAAGGAAAATTTGTGGCAATCACGAGAAAACCATGGTTCACCCATCTTCAACTGACTGCAAAATGTATCGAGATCAGAGAATGATCACGTCGTTGCGGCAGTATAAACGATTGACGAAAAGTGCAACAATATGTCCTTCGAAAGGGACTCAGCGAATGCCTTTGTCGTGCATGGTTAGAATGGACAAGAAGACACTACGAAGATGAATACAGGGAGGGGTTTAGGTGTCTGTCTCTCCTCAAACATGCCTTTCTATTTGCAGCATGAAAAATCGCCTCAAAAGGCAATTGTCCTTTTACAGATAATCCGGTGCACCCCCTCCGTATTACCCGTATGGAATTTCGGACACACTGTGGGGCATTCGTCAGTCCGCTTTTCCGGACGCCAGTTCTTAATTCTCTTCGAACGCGTCCAATTAGGTGGTGGGAAAATGTATGCAGGCCGGAAATTCGTGGACTGTGAAGGGCGTCCCGAAATTGTTGTTCTCTTACCTCGAAGTTTCGTCACTCGCAAGAAGAACTCATAATTACACGTCCTCTGCTTGAACATCATTGGTCGTGCATTTTTTAATAATGACTGAAACACACACGGTGGGACACTGTAGGTAGATTTTCAAGCTTAAGACGCACATTTTTTCGGAGAAAAAGTTTCCCTAATTCGAGTAACAGGTGGAGCAGCATTTCTCCACCTGGTTCACCAATCCGTTTTCGGTGAGCAGTCATGTTTGACTGTGACGAGAATGTCACTCAATTTGTAATGGCAGCGTGTGACCTTGACTGGCTGTTGAAACGTCGAGAACAGTGAATCGCCTTGATGAGTGTTCACGACAACCCTTGTTGATGGATGACAACGGGAACTTCATGAGCCGATGTCCGTTAAGCCAGGTTGTACATTATCAATAATTAATAAAAGTCAGTAAAAATGACGCACTGTGTTCTACAGGGCTGCAGCGTTTGCACAACAAATCAGTGCGCCAGCAGTTATTTGCTGGTAGCAGAATGCATAAAACATATTGGGTAGTCGGGGCAAGTACAAGTCATACGTTGCCACCGTTCACCAAAAGAAGAGGTTTTTTATTCCACAAATGGCGGCGGAATATTTGAGGTCAGGCTTAAACGTAATTGTGCAAAATCAAAGGGGCTACGTTGGAATGAAATACTGTACGACACCCGTGTCTACCTAGCTTGTTCAACGAAAAGTTACCACGCTAACATTGTGGTTCAGCATGCGTACTTTTACGTTCCCGCTGAAAAATCACTCACAAAAATGAAAACTGTCGGCAGTGGTTGATGGCAAATTACCCAGCTCCAGACACCTCAGTATTAGAAGTTCGACTCAAAAACACGTTTTTCGAACGCAACTCGACCGTTCCTGTCCAGTCATAGGCAACCTGGGAATATCTCAGCCTTCTTACTTCCTTCGAGATTCATGGCAGCCATCCCTTGAATAGATATTACAGCTGAAAGGTCGTTGGTTTTGTTTGTCGGAATAAATTTGAAGCCTGCCAAGAACGCGGTGCGGCTCCTAACGCGTCTGCTTGCGTAGCAGCATCAGAAGTCAGGCGTCTGTCTCATTTCGGGCTAGCCGCCTGGATTCAGGTACCGCTTGCGCGACGACAGAAGTGTAGTTTACATAATCCAGGTGGATGAGCTTCTTGTCCGAATAGTTTTAAACACCGGAGTTTTAATGTGTATACAGCCAACTTGCCTTTTGACGTACCATAGTGCAAGGAGCAGGAAGCCAAGTAACCGATGTATAGAGGAAAATGTTGGTAGCTCAGGTAGCGTAGACAAAACAACTGGCGAAAACCCGAACCCACGATGTCACTTTCGGCAGAGCAACTCCAAATAATTTTACAGAAACTACAGAAGCAGTTCGGAGAAGCTCAAATAAGGCTTGTTGAATCTCTGATGCGCAGCATGTCGGTGAATGCGACAAAAACGGTTCAGCCCTCGTCCGCTTCCAGAGCTGCTGCTGCTGCTAGCTTGATTACCGAATTCAATTTCGATGCTGAATCTGGAGGAACCTTCGAAAGTTGGTTCAAGTAATACGAAGACATGTTTCAAACCGACTTTTCTCAGTTTGATGGTAGATGAAACGTTTGACTGTTGCTGCGGAAACTGGGGACAGGTGAACATGGTCGGTTCACAAATTTCCTACTCCCCGAACTATCTCGTGACCTTGGTTTAGCAGATATTGTCAAAATCCTGGCCCGAATATTCGGTGAGCAAATTTCCTTGTTCAATATTCGTCATCCGTGTCTCAGCATTATCAGAAGGGATACTGAGGATTTCAGCCCCTATGCCGGTGTGGTCAACAGAGAATCTGAGCTCTTTCAGCTCCGCTCCATGACCGAGGACCAATTCAAATGTCACATCTTCGTGGCTGGTCTTCAATCGCCACATGATGCAGATATTCGGACCCGGTTGCTAAATCGATTTGAACAGGATCCAGAGTTAACGCTTCAGAAACTTACCACCGAATGCCTGTATCAATCTCAAGGCTGACTGGACATTTCAAATTCTCGCAACCTGACATGGTATGCAATGTAACTTCCAATTAGAAGTTGAATTCAAAACAAACTCCAAGAAAACATCCCATATCCTGTTGGTTTTGTGAAGAATGATACTACTCCGCCACTGTCCACACAGGAACCACAGGTGCAGTAAGTGCAACCGAGAGGGTCACAAGAAAGAATTCTGCATATGCAACTTCAGGAGCTCGCGCAAACACCGACCCGACAAAAGGACGCAGTTGGAGGCCCTGACCGACTCATTCAGGGTGAAATCACCCGGTAACCGTAGATTCGTGACATCATGCATCAATGACACACCACTTATCCTCCAATTGGATACGGGTTTTTATCTCACTCTGATTTCAAAACGAACCTGAAACGTAATTGGAAGGCCACCAGTGGAACCCACAAAGTGTACCATTCGTAATGCAACTGGCGGAAGTCCCAAACTGACCGGGAAGCCGATCTGTTCTGTAGCGTTCAAGGGTATTCAACTCAATGGTACCTGCTGCCTCAAGAACCATGCAGGCCTCGATCTCTTGGGAAATGATTAGACTGATGACCTTCAACTCTTGAATCAACCCCTCAATGCCGGTTAAGGAAACAACCGCAAACGGCTCCGATACGTTCACGAGAACACTGAGTCCCGACAATTTTGTGGTCGCCACAGTTACAGCCAAAGCGGAGACCAGATGGAACACACGTGACACAGCATCTATTCAGCTTCTGGCATCCAGGAGTGGTTGCCCTCTCACATCAGTCCAATTTGGTGAATCCTACCGGCAGCCTGCAACCGCGGTCCTTCAGTTTACACTCGCAGATTCATGCTGATCATTCTATCTGGAAAGTCAAGGAAAGGGGGCCGGCAGAAATGTCGCCACAATAATCACATAGAGATCAGCCACTGATTCGAGGATATGGGGAATGCTCTCCACACTGGACGCAGAGTTGACTATGTCAAACACGAGACACACGTAAGATCATCAACACAGCCGCGTCAAGCTAACCTACTTCAGGCAACAGACTGCGGTTCGCTGAGGGGACCACGTCGCACGGGACACCCGACACCCGTGACACACTACCCAAGTGGAGGGCACCGGATCAGAGGTGAGCCTGTTTGCAGCCCCAGGGACGGATTGACATGCGACAGAACCTGCATGATTCGTCACAGTGGAGTTCAAAGCGTCAGTCGGTTGAACAGCCTTCTCAAGGGGGAGGTTTTCGGAGGCCAGCCGCCCCTAATAACCGAATATCGCATCATTTGGACGTGTCACGCGCAGGACACGGGCCCCGGCGGCTCGAAGCACCCCAAAATTTTTCTGAAACCGTGGTTCGAAGGAGGAAAACTTTAGCATGAAGTTTCAACATTTGATGATATATTTTCGGGCGTATGAGATCTTCCCGAACGGCCGCAGTTTTGTTGAAAGTTGTTTTTATACCTACTCAATCCGCACGATATTCAAGGCCCGCAATATTCATATTATAACGGCTGCTTTGGCTTGTAATCTACACGCTATGGAAGCACCAGTGGACAGTGATTCTCCGAAGGCAGGTGTTCACGACAATTTCTGTGGATGGAAACAGAAACAAAGCTCATGAGCCAGAGCCCAGTAATCAAGGTTGTACATCACCAATACTTACATATGATTCAATCAAAATGACAGATACCGTATACTACAAGCTGAGCAGCCGCTGGCTATTCGCACAATGAGAGTGAGTTCTCGGAATCTACGGCATTTTCAGACTTGCCACTTCATAGTGTAGAATGTCTATGTATAATGTATATGCTCCTGTATTATTGAAATTACTTTACTATGTCGATTTGTTTAAGTGAAATAAATCCCCAGGTGAATAAACACCGCCGCCTTTGAATACGTTACCTGATGACAAAAATCGTGAACTTTGGAAAAGGTTTACTAACCTACAATGAACGTAACTTTCAGATATTTTTCCACGGGAACAAATTTCCTCAGCATTCTAGAATCTATATGGCCTTCAGAGGTGCAACAGATGCGTAGGCGCATTCGTGCAAACAAATTTTGGTCGATGATTCTTTGTTGCCAATAAAAATTCCGTAGTGCACGCTAATTATCTGCTAAGCATCGTGCAGGTTTGTCGGCAAAAACCAGGGTTTTTCATTATAGGTTGCGAATTACGCTAGAAAGACCTCGAGGTTTATCGATCTTAA